ACGACTGCTCTCGGCCAAGCACTCCAAAAGAAGCGAGTGATAGACACATATATATATATATATGTATATCATATTATGATGTTATATCATGTTATATTTTGCCCGATAGTACAACAACGAATCCTACTTTGTCCTCGTGCGCTTGACAGTTCAGGTACACAATAAAAAGGCACTCGCAAGAGAATGATATGGTTGCACTTGACTTAGGAAGATGACCTTGGTACTGCTAATTGAGGAGTGGCCTTATGTAGAAAAGGGGAGTCCCTGGGCTTATTCTTGGAATGGAGGACCTGCATTTGGCTCTTTCACAACAAGTGGATGTACGCAGCAGGTAGGTATTCGTTGGAACACGCGACATACTACGTCATACTACCAAGTGCATTTGAAATTGTATCCTGATGACCCCGTTAGTTCTATGTATATATGTAAATTTGAAAGGAGCAACTCCCAATCCAAAAGGGCCAGAAAGCTGGTATTGTGCAGAGAGAAAAACTTTTGAAATGGCATCTCGGCAGCTGCAGCCACTTTTGGTTGAACACGTTGTTCTCACGAGCTATCGAGCTGGTGTCAAAAACAGTAACAGACACGATCGCGTATTGAAACAGAATCCAGTCAGATGAACACTGACCCCGTGCTTGATGTAAACGACGAGGTCGCTGTAAGTAATTAGACACAACTAGCCGACTGTACTTGTACAGCTGTGGACGACAGCAGGCTGAAAGTTCCAGTTCAAGTAGCTCCACCTCGTCAGACAGTCGAGAGTGAATGAACAGAGCGCATCAGCATTCACGCATGCAGCATGCCTTTATCGTGCAACACACCAAACTTTCTATGTGTCCCGAACCCTGGTAAAGCGATAGGGCAACAAACCGATCATGGTTCTTGGTTGTTGCAAACCATGATGCGTTTTGTTTGGGTAATTTTTGGAATCCCACTTGCAAGCCACAATCAACATGATGGAGCGGCTTGCCTCACAGGGGTTCAGATCCGAAAGTTTTTGAGGAGAATACATGATGAAATTACTGTACTCTTGTTTTTTGGGTGTGACTTGAAATGATCTAGAATTGAGTATGCGCTTAAACATAAAGGACGACAACACGGAGACGATGCATTTCATTTGATCATTGCAAGCGAGTTTGGAGAGTTTTCTTTTGGAATCAGGGTTTTCAGATTTGAACGCAAGCCGTTGCAGTGTACATGTTTGATTTCTTCCAGGGTAAAACTTGTGTTTATGCTACCAGTGTTTTGCAAATTATATTTGGGTGACGATGTATGCTGTATGAAATATCGAGATCAAGCCTTGCTGTCTGAAAAGCGCCCTTTCCAGCTCATATGAGCTGTTTTGAGCTCGCCTTTTTTTTGGAAGCTGTTTGGTCCAAACCTCCCTTATCCAATCCCTCTCTTATTCTCTTTGACGCAAGGTTTTCTGGCGCCGAAGACACACTTCATTGTTCATATCTCAGTGGACTGCAGGATGACCAGATGGATGCTCAAGAAGCTAGTGCCTGAGTCAATGTCAAACTGAACCGACAGAGTTTCAAGCTGCTCATTGATTCACCTGGAAGGTTCGAGCCCATTTCAAGGGTGGCATCTCAGACATCGAGCTCTTCCAGTTCTTCCTGGATTCGGATTCGGACCCACAGCTGCTCGCAGTCTTGATCGTTGATAATGAATTGTTGATCATTGATGATGATTTGTGTGCACCGCATTTCAGCCTTATATAATATGCTGATCGCGACCTGCTGACCTACATCAACATGCAAGTTGCGAGGACAGATCTGGTGATGTTTCCTTGCAAGAGTATGTTGACTATGCGGCAATGTTGGGATAGAAAAGGACATGTCTTCTGAGACAATAAGCGCATGTCTTGCTGCAAACTCGCAGTTGCGTTGCAAGAAACCTGCTCATTGGACCTCAGCTCGTGTCAATGTATGTGGACTTGGCTCAAGCCCTTCAAGAGGGTGGGGTGGGCGTCGCTGGCGCTGTCCGGGAAAGGTGGGTATTTTGCCAACCAAGCCCACCAGCCGTGAAGACTCTTATGCTGGAAGCTCAGGACTCGAACAGCAAAATTCATTTCATTTCTTTTTTACTTGTATGGCCCATTGGAGTATATTGTCAGAAGGGCACAAGAAACCTTTCCAAAAGACTTGCAAGAGGCTTTCTTTAACTTGCTCTGGAACTAGAAACGCCGCGTAGCACAGGTCCTGATGTCAAAGAAGGTGGTGACCAAGAAGAAGGCACTGCGAGCCAAGCTCGGTGAGTCTTTCGCTCATTGAGTCCAAGCACACCACTTTCGAGCCCATGGGCCCATGACTTGCGTGGGCGCATGGGCCCAGGCTGTTCGCCTGGGAGTTGCTATTAGAAACAATGTTCGCTACTAGGAACAAGTGCATCGCTTCTAGTAACAAGTGCCTTACTAGTAGTAACAACAAGCTATTAGAAACAAGAAGCTTGCTATGCTTGAGCTGAAACCTTCTGCCGAAGAGTCCAGGCGCAACCGCCCGCTGTTCCTGGACTGCCAGTGAACGGGGCACAAGGCGGCGTATTTGCCTGGATCTCATCTAGCAAGTGCCAAGCCAAAACAGAAGACACGTTAAGATCGTTAAGTCTATGTACATCGTTTATCATTGTTTGGGTCTGACAGGATTCCTGGTTGCTAGCTTGCAGTTGTGGAGACCGTTCGTTCTCAACTGGCCCACTAGCTTCTGACGGCTCTGAATTCTAATCTGATCGAGCTGAGTGAGCGGTGCAGTCTCAGATCAAACATACAATCAGGTGGATATCCCAGATTTACATCCAAAGCATATGGAATCCATGATCGATGCATCGCACGATCGATGCATCGCACCTGGTCTTCTCCGCCCGACCATGCCTGACCCAATGCGACGGGTCCGACGCGGCCCGAGTCGACTGAGGCGCCGAACAAGACTCGGGTGGCCCAGCAACAGCGGGTCCTTGAGACGGCCGGGGGGCCGAGAGGTCGACGGCCGACCGGGGGTTCCGGTGACCGGGGTTCGGTGGCCGAAAAAGCAGTCGAGGACTAGGCATTTGTCCGTCCTGCCATCCGAGAATGTGTGCTCAGGTAGGCAAGCAGGATGGCAATGACAAGAGGCATGGACATGCATGGACTGTATTGGCAACGGCAACTCCAAGTTGTGTTGATTCTTCTCGTTTTCAAGGTATTCGCCGCGCACCGATGGCTTCATTCAGAAGCTGTCGACAGCTCAGCTGCCGAAAGGGCTTTGCAATCCCAGAATTCACGGAGCACGAATTGATACGAATTGAGGACTCCCGTCCTGGACTTTTACCAATACTCGGCTGCAGACATTGCCTCTCTGGTTCGAAAGTGTCACTACGATGAGTGCTCATCTGAGGCAACAATGCAAGTCTCAGAGCGAGTGCACACCATTCCATTTTGACTGCCGCTTTTCCTGATATGTCAAGTACTCTCTCCAAGGACACAAATTCAAATTGCCGTCGCCAACATCATTGAGGCAACTAATCATAAGACTCCTTGACAGTCAAATTCCATTCTGTACATCAAGTGTAACCATTTGTGGTGGCAAATATTTGAACATCCAGCGACCTTACTGGTAGGATAGAAACTTACGATATTCATGCACACGCTTGGTCGGCTCATCCGCAGGATCGTGCCAATCATGAGCAAGAACAATGGGGCACTGTGAAGAAAAAGAAGCAGGTCAAGGTGGGAATACCAAGACTCAGCGAGCAACTTTGTGAGCACAAAAAAGAGGGATACACGGATGCGTGCACGCACATATATTATATATACATATATAGTAGACATATATAATATACATATAACCTACATACATATATAATATGTATATATACACACATACGTCACATACGTGTATACATGTACATATGCTGCAGTCAGCGTCAAACGAAAGTAGGTATGGTCAATCTTGCAAGCATGAGCATGTTCTGTTCGGGGGTTACTGGCTTGTCCATTATTCCATCATAGCAAATGTTGTATACTTACAAGTGCAACACATATTTACCTTCCCAAAATGAATGGATGGTTGGGTAGTAGGGTAGGGACATTTTGGGGTTTAACATATGCAGGTGTTAACTCCTGATCTTGATGTGGTCCTCAGATGTTTAACCAGACTCTTTCGACGGTTGCGAAGAAAAGTTGAGAGAGAGTCTGTGGTGACATTGTCAGGTACCCTCATGTTTCATATATCCATATACACACATGACATGTGCATTTAGAGTTTGAAAAGAGGACAATCTTTGCCATTCTGAGGAGGAGAAGAAAATGAAGGAGGCTGCCCAGAAGAAGATCGAGGCTATCTCAAAGCTGTCGGTAGTTCACTGCATGGCCGGTAGTTTGCTACCAATGCCAGGACATGCACAAGGCCGAGGATGAAACAATCGGAGAAGTATCCAGGCTCACGAGAGAGGGCAAGAGAAGATGGAGAGTGGTCAGAGTCGTCATGTTGTTCCCTTTTGCGTCCAATGCGCTCCGCATCGAGGCCAGTGATCCAGGCGCTCCACATCAATCAGGCGAGCTGGTCGATTCACCGTTGCGGACAGTTGGTATGATTTTGTTTGCAGGAACAAGATGAATGGAGTACGGTCAAAAAGAAGAAGCAAGTGAAGGCCGCCTTCTGAGTTCTGCTCTTTTGACTCTAGACTTTTGTAATTTCAAGGAGGAGAAGAAGATCCAAGAGGAAAGGAAGATCCTGGAGGAGAAGAAGATCCAAGAAGAGAAGAAGATCCAGGAGGAGAAGAAGTTGAAAGAGGACGAAGAGAAGAGAATCAAGGCCTACTGCCTTGATTTGCTTTGCCCAAAAGTTGCACCCTACATGGAGTCCGGTGCGACTCACACGCACCATCCGAGCAAGGACCGTCAAGAACAGTTGGTGAAGGAGGAAATGGAGAAGCAGAAAAAACAATCCAACGAGAGGCCTGCTGAAGTAGGCATGTAGCGGCTACTGTAGCGGCATGTGGATTGGTGGTCTTTGTTACAGTATCTTTTCAACAAACACTGATTGGTGATTTTTCATGGCTTCTAAAGCTCCTCCTCCGGGCTGATGCACGCTGTCTTCACGAGGAAGGTGACCTCAGAGGGAGCGACCTCAACGCCGGCAGCGCCGGGTCCAGCGCCAGGTGCAGGTTGGTCCTAGTCCAGAAACCTCCGACTTGGAGAGTCTGAGAAGCACTGCCTATAGCGATGTTCATGCAAATACATTTCCACATGTTCACAGCCCAGATGGATTCAGGCGGAAAAGGTGCTGGAAAGGCTGGAAAGAACGGCTCCAAGAACGGTCATTTGGCCTTCACAGGCGCCGCCCGTTTCAGCGGTTGCTCCAAGAACGCCGTCCCGTTTCTGCCGCATTGGTCTCTGAGGCAAAGGAGGCAGCTCCACTGGCACGTCTCCGGTGTTAAAGCCCTCAGAGCCCAAGGAGAAGAGGGAAAAAGAGGGCAGTGGAGAAGAGAAGGAAGGGAAGGAAGGCGGCGATGTGAACACCTTGAAACACGGAGGCATCAGAGACATCCAATCACCAAAGCAGATTGAGCTGCTAGAACTTTGTCACAGATTGCCATGAACAACGAGTTAGTAGGACCCTTTGATCGTGTTCGAAGGCGCAGTCCTCCCGTCAGATCCTGCGATCTTGTTTTCCAGTCCGAAGCCTGAGGGTGAGTGGAAAGCTCAGTTGATGTCCTCAATGCGAACAATGTTCGATGATGTCTGGCTTGTTCAGGCATGTTCTTCAGTGAATGTGCTGAGCGGATAGGAACGTCTTATGAAAGGCATTCACGTTCGATGCAGGACTGAGCAGACCGGGAAGGAGACGGCGCCCTCTGCGCAGCCTTCACAGACCTCGCAGCCGGCCGCTAAAGCCGCGGCACCAACAGCCCCAGCAAAGCCAAAGGTCAGTGGCAGCGTTTGGAACAAACCACCAGGTTTGCCCGAGCCCGAGAAAGGCCAGAAAGAGGATTCTCCAACCCCAGCTGAATCCAACCCAAAGGCAGACTCGTCTGCTCAAAAGTTGGAGCGAAAGCCCCAGGGCGCCAAAGTGGGCGTACAGACCTCCCAAAGTCTCACCACCAAAGAGCCCAACGGCTCGTCCAACGGCTCTGATCGAGATCCCAAAGATTCCAAAGACAAGAAAGTTGGTAGATCTAAGCAGAGTGAGGAGAAGAAGGATGAATGGAAAGACAAGAAGGATGAATGGTGGCTTAGCTGAGGACATGCTACTCAACAAGTTAAGCTGATTTTGGCCACACTGGAGTAGCTAAGAAAATAGGCCATCACCAGTCTCCAACAGTGAGAATGTTTCTCTAGCTTTAGCCTGCCTGAGTTCCAAGCGCCTCTGAGGTGGGGTGAACAGAGCGACTCCAAATGGGTGCGCCATAAACCGTTTGATTTGCACAGTTCGATTCAGAGCCTTTGACCATCATTGATCCATTTGAAGTTGTTCCAAGCGTGGGTAGGCTGTTCGATGCTGTTGCCTTTGTTTGCCTTTTTTTGATTCTCATTTCCGCATTTTGGCGCCGCAGAATGGCCGTGGTTGGGACTGGAAGAAATGGAACGACTGGAACAGCAAAGTCTGGATCCTAGCGGTCCTAGGGCTCGTGGATGTGCTAAAGTTGGACCGGAAGTCGACCAGTTGACCATGGTCTTTTCCGTGTGAGGCCGATGGTGACTGGTGGAGTGGAGATTGGAAGAAAGGAGGCATTCAAGCATGGAACATGCCTTGGCTGACCACATGGAATTTTACTCCAGAGTGTCAGGTAGCTGGCAGTGGCAGAAGAAGAAGGAGGATTCACAAGGCCAAGCTGCGAGCTTTGTTGTGAGTTCACCACCAGTTTTGTTGGAGGGGCTGCAGCCCGGCCTCACTCCCTCAATTAGTCATGCACGCCACGTAAGTCGATTGATGTGTCCTCCTTTCTATAAGGGTGTCAAGCAGCAGCACAACCAGGCTATGTCTGAATGATGCTTCTGCAGCTGCTTTCCTTTTCTCTTTAAGAGAACAACTATTAGGTTGGAGGCCATCGCTAGTAGGTTGGAGGCCATCGCTAGTAGATTGGAGGCCATCGCTAGTAGGTTGGAGGCCATGGCTAGTAGGTTGGAGGTTTTTTGGCTTTGCTTACAGCCAAATCGAATCCGGGGATTTTTGTGTTTGTTGGGACGGGGAGCTTTGGACTGATGTGTACATTGACACGTTGGGTGAGAATGGTGATCTTGTACAAGTCTGCTTGCCCAATCATTAATTACAGACAAACAACATGGAATCATGAATTCATGACCTCTCCTGGATCTTGTTTATATTAACCAGGAAGGGAACTCCAACGATTATTCGGAGTCATATACCACTATGAAGGTTATGATATATTAAGATCCAGCTAAAGCAACTCACACATCGACTTGAGGATGGCAGCGGAAGGACAAGTCGGAAGCTGCCACCCAAGGCAGGAGCATCACATCGATCTCACCTGTTGGGCTCAAGGTAGTACTTTGTGCAGTTTTCCATTGGGTGCGTGGGCTCGTGCACCCTTCTGTTTGGCTTTGGAGCCCTGACAAGGGGTAAAGACTCTGCAGGATGCATCCTTTTCTGTGCGCAAATGCCTTGACCGTTGAACATTATGAGCAACTGCAGAAAGGTATTGGGGTTGGAAATCAGGAGTGACTGCAGACAGACCCGTGCAGGTGACAAGGATAAGTCCCAAGAAGCCACAGCTAGCAGTTCCTGAGGGACGTCTCACCACTCGCCTAGCTCAAGGGCATGGGCATCTAGACACACACGAAACGGACGACTCCGCACCTTACCATCAAGCGAGTCTTCGCGCATTTTGGCCACTTGAGCTGGACACGGACAGAGTCAGTAGAGTCAGGGTGTTGAGCTGGGGAATCAAGGCAGTGCTGAAGCTGCGCCGAAGTCCAAACAAGTCACAAATAAGAGCTCCTTCCTGAACAGCATTTTGCTTTTGCTTTAGCTTCCCAAGGTTGCCAGTGGTTTTAATCCTTTTCTAAGAAAAGGAGCAGAATTGAACTCCCTCTGTTTGCCAAAGCCTGACATAGAATATGTTTTAAACATGTTTTGCACTTGTTGACTTCATTCCGTGCACTTCTCACCGCTTAGCACGCGAAGCCGGGCCTATGAGCCAAGATGACTCCCCCTCAGCAAGTGCATTCGAGCACGCAGCAGACTCTCGCGTGTTTCAAACGCAGTTGTAGCGTGTTGTTGCGATTGTTTGAAGTCCAAGCTTGATCATGTTCAACTGAGTCAGAACGGTATTTTCTGATATTTTCTGGTTCAAGAAAAGGGGTAATGATACACTCCAAAGGAGCAAGATGTTGAACAAACGGTCTCTCTGTCTCTATACATACACATTCATATGTACACTACACACACACACACCCTTGAGCTCTAGATGGCCTCAGAATGTAATTTCTTCAGACAATTCTTCTTAACATCCAAAGACTTTCCAGTTGCATCGAGTTGTGTTTTCGATGAAGCGTGTGCGTCCGGAGTCCGAACAAGTGGCCTCCTTTGACCCGGCCTCTGCACGGAAAGTGCACCAAAGTGATGATTTGGGAGTCACCTTTTACAAGTACCCACCCAATGCAGAGGTGAGTGTCCGGCAGTTTGAGGACTATACAGCCAGCCGATTGAAGCTTTTGCACGCCATCGACCGAGCATGCAACAGTCAAGAGCTCCGATTGGAACAGATGAAAGACTCCATCAGGCCGAAGCTAGGAAATGAGTTTCGGGAATCGGGCCTTGAGCTGGTCTACCCAGAGACGAAAGCCAGGATGGAGACCTTTCGATTGGAGAAAGTAGAGTTCCAAAGTCGGGACAGCATTTCCCATTTTGCACTCCGTTTGGCCTTTTGCAAGAGCCGTGATGCGCGAGAGTGGTTCCTCCGTCAAGAGCAACGGCTCTTTGTGCTACGTTTTGAAGCACTGAATGCCGAGGCTCGTGAGGCCTTCTTGGGATCCGAAGGAATTGAATGCAACAGGTTCGTGGAGACAGAGGGCGAGAAGATGACCTTGAAGATGTTGCAGAGATGTACTCCTGGTGCAAAGATATGGGTGGAGAAGAGTGGAACGAAGGTACCGGAATTCGACCAGACGTTCTATGTGATGCCCTTTCGGGCGGTGCCGGAGAAGTTAATCTCGGGCCGCCGGGTGGTGTTGCAGCGTGGGAAAGCCTACGTTCCAGCAAGCCTGCTGAAGCTGGTGATCACGAAGCGCTTCAAAGAGAACTTGGCTGAAGCTCTGGAGGTGGCATTCCACGGTCAACATGCTGCTCTCATGGATCCGAGGGTGGGTGGTTTTCTGCGAGTCTTGCAGGACTATGGATTGCAGTTGGTGGCAGGTCCGCGCTCATCCTCCGAGGAGCCTAGGGAGAAGCTGTCATTACAAAACTTTGAAGAGCTTTTGCCGCGCTCCTTCCCGCCCTGCATGCGACGACTGGTGGAGAAGCAACGCGAAACCACGAAGCACTTGAAGCATGCTGGGCGGTTGCAGCTAAGGCCCTTCCTCAAGGCTTGTGGATTCACCTTTGAGGAGTCCTGCCAGTGGTGGAAGAAGGAGTTATGTCGAGATCCATTGATCACCAGCGAGACCTATGAAAAGAGCTATCACTATGACAATGAGCATGCCTACGGCAAAAAGGGTCATCATCAGGGGCAAAACTGTTTTGGATGCCCGAAGATCATTGGTTCGCCAGGAGAGGCACCTGGACAGGTTCACGGTTGCGTCTTCAAGCAGCTCGAACCCTCTGCTTTGCAAAACCAACTGCAAAGATGGCAAGTGCCCTTACCTGCGATGATGGAAATCCAGAGGCTCATCAAGGAAGGCAAGCACTACCAACTTGCTTGTATCGAATACTTCAAGTCGCAGCACCCCTTGAGCGATGGGGAAGGGGTGGGCAACTCACCAGTGGATTTCTTCCGAAGTAGTGTTCGCTTTCACAAGGAGAAGGAAAAGGAGAAGGGGACGACGAGCCCTACCAAGGAAGTTGCGGCTGTGGCGTCCGAGATGCCACAGGCGATAGCGGCGGCATGAAATTCGAACATGGTCGCATAGAGGCAGTGATGGAGATGAATGGAGACCCATTCATATCCTGCTTGAAATGCTCAGAATCACTTCCGGTTCAGGGTTGGGTGGGCAAGGAAGGCAGCGCTGTGGTCATCCAGTGACTGCAATGTGCTTCTACTCCTGGGGCGAGAAGAGGCTTTGGGGTGAGCCTCGCGAAGCAAAAGAAAGGGGTGGAAAAGGCTGCCTTGGCCGTGACTTTTCGTGACCCCAGTGGGCAACTTTCAACTTCAACTGGCAGCAAGTGTGCCTCACTGCGATGTGCTCATGATCATCACGATCATCATCATGACCATAATATAGCAACAACAATTATATAGAGTATAACAAAAGTCATCACTTCAACTCACAGTCTGATTAAAACATGCACTTGCGGCTCTAGATCAGTGACGGGGGTGCCGGGCCGCCCCAGCTGGACCGACCAAATTCTTGGAGGTGCCGGCGATGCGTTCGATGCGACTCGACTTCCCGCACATGTGAAATCAGAGGAGTCTCATTCTCTCTCTAGATATATGTATATATATATATGCTACCCCCCGCCAATGGACCTACCCTTTCCTAGTTTGGGCAGACGTTGGTTGTGGATTAGTAAGAAGCAGATACATGTTGTAAATGGTTTTGCAGATCTATTGACTTCAAATTTAGATCTAATTCAATTCTATTTTGAGTGAGTGTACAATTTAAACATTTTTTCAACCAAATTGAACTGAATTTACAAAATAAACACTCTAATTATTACCTTAATTCTATTGAACTCTATTTTTCTTTAAGTCTAACTTAATTCTAAATTTGGAATTTAAAATTCGGTTTTGACCCTGGTTGAATTCAATTTTGAATCTAATTGATTTGAAATTTAAGTTTAGTTTCAATCTGCAGTTTGATTTTAATTCAATTCTAACTGAATTTGAATCAGTTCAAATTTAGTTTTAGTGTAAATGTCATTTTGACGTTAATTTTCATTCAAGTCTAATTAACAGTTTATCATTTCAGTAATCTAATTCTAACCGAGCAGCAGGTTAAGTAATTCTATTTCAATTGTATCTTCATTCTAACCCAATGTTAATTGAAACAATGAAGTTGTTATTCAATCTTTGTTTTAATTCCAATTCAACGCTAATTTAAGCCTAATTTAGTTTTGTTTATACTTCAAATTATTTGTGATTAAGTTTTAGTTTCAGCTAGTTTAAATCTTATACATTTCAATTTCAGTTGTTTACAATTCTAGTTTAATTCTATCTTGATGTCTATTTGAAGTTTGATTGATTCTAATCTAATTTTAATTCGATTCTAGTTCAGTGAAAATGATGTCTAATTCAATGCAAACTAAAAGAGGGTGTTGCTCAGGGTGTGGTTTTAAGAACAGAACCTTGAAGAAAGCAACACAGACATTATATACAAAGCATTCATTAGCGAACTAGAATTGCATAAAAGCCAAAGGTAGATTAGAAAAAACGAGTTTAATTTGTTTAAACATAAACTGCATGGAAATCAAATTGAATAGACGTATAATTTCAATAGAAATACAGCTGCATTGAACTCTAGTTAAAAGAAGTGGAATATGGAAGTTGCTCAACATTAAAACTCAATTGAAGCTGGGATCAAAGAAGTTCTACTTGAATCTTGAATCCTGGGCTGGGAATCCAAACAGTTCTATTTGACTCTTGACTCTTGAATCTTGGGCTGGGGATCCAAGAAGTTGTATTTGAATCTTGAATCTTGAATCTTGGGCTGGGGATCCAAGAAGTTCTAGTTGAATCTTGAATCTTGAATCCTGGGCTGGGGATCCAAGAAGTTCTATTTGAATCTTGAATCTTGAGCCCCTGTACTTTGTACAAATTTGGTCAAAGAAAAATTGCAATTTCTTGCAGTTTTTTGCAACCTGCAAACAAATCATAAAAGCAAGTTGCTTGAAGCAGGTCCAAGATTGTGGATTAACCGCAAACCTCCAAAATGTTTCAATAAATCTGCAAATACCATTTAAAAGCTAGAAAGAGGTAGGTCTATAGTTTTTTTTTGCATGCCTTTTCTGAAGTGCTAGAAGGTGCGGCTATGCGAAAAAGGAGCGGAGATCTTGTGATCCCTGCAGCTGACAACGCTGCATCATCCGCTCGGGAACCTCAAAGCGGCCTTCCACGACCTTGGCTTTGCCATGACATCGAGTGCAGGTGAGCTTGCTTCCGCATCGTTGCACTCGATGGGACGGATGTCCTGGCCACTTTTCAGCTGCAACCGGACCTACAATGCAAGGCTCCTGCAGCCACTTCTCAAAGGTCTCAAGGGCCGATCTGGCCAGTCTTACACTGGCAGCAACGAACATAGGCGCGGTCAAGGGTGATGTAGTGCTTGCCCTGCTCTGGCGAGGTTTGAGCTTGAATGATGTCTTTGATGACTGCGATGCGCGTTTGCGCTTGATCGGCTGGCTGACTTTCGCGAGACAATCAGCTGCCAAGGCATCACGCAGCTCCTGCACGGGGCTCTTGGTGTGAAGCCGCTGTATGCAAAGCTTGCAAGCCACTCCAGTGCGGAATGGAGCCCAACTATGACCATTGAGGTGAGGTTGAGCCAGGAATTCCTGTACCAGCTCGCTCTTCTGCTGGATGAGAGGAACTTTGCTAGAGGGCGAAGATCTTCACCTTTGTAGAAGTAGTGA